ATTTTAAATAAGTTTTGAGTATAAAAAGCTTTTTCTTAATTTCTCCTTTTATTTTTTATAGTACTTATGGAAGAATTTTGAGATGTTTTGTGGAAAACGCTGAACAAAAGTGTGGCAAAAGAGCATCAAAAATTTTAAAGGGCCTGACTCAGGACATTATTAATAGTGTTATTGCCATAAACTGCTCTGGTTTAACTGCAGAGCCATGTGTTAAAGACTTTGTGCTTCCCAAAAATACTAAAGTATATCAAAATAAATCCTCCCTACAAAACAATAAAAATTCTGTCAATTATACAGGGGAAAGAGAAGGAACAGGAGGTTCACAGGTGTGTGTTTATATTAAATTTTAATCTGTTTAATTAAATGAGTATTTTTTTTTTGTTCTTGATAATAATTAGTCTAATGACAATATAAAAATAATTAGATTATTCTATTTTATTATCTTTTGCAGAAAAATGCCAATTGTCTTTGGTGGCAGTATTTGTATACTTTTATATTTATATTTTATAATTATGTTAATACTTAAATTTATATTCTTAGTTGATAATGAATTAAATAGTATTGGTGAATGAAATAGAAGTTAATGTTTTTTCTTTGAACCAAATCCTGAAAATCCCATTATACTGTTCAGTTCATCTGCTTGTTCATTTTGTTCTTCTAACATTTCTTCTGACTTTCTTTTACTCTCTCTTCTTTTTTCTCTACGGTATTCCCTAAGTTTCTCTTCTTCTTCAGCCAGTTCTTGTATTCTTTGAGCCATGTCATACTCTTTCTTTCTCTCTTCTAGTTTTTTCTTATTCATTTCAAATCTACCTTTTACTGCATCTAAAGAACTACGTTCTATCCTCATGGACATTCCTAATAAAAATATTATGATTATCCAAGTCTTGTTCCTATTTATCAATTATTTACCTAAATTTCTTTGATGTTTCTTGCCATTTATATGGTCCAGGAAATTAATAGAGTCCTTAACAACACAATCACAAACATTGCAGTAGTAGCCCCCTGATTGAGAAGTTGGAGTGTTTTTATTAATAACTATGCTTTTGCCTAATTTTGATTCTAGGTCTACTTTGTAATCTCGTTTCTTAAGTAGTTCCCTCTTCACCGGGGGGCCCTTCTTTTTCTTGTCTTCTTCCTCTTCCTTTTCTTTTTCCTCTCTTTTCCTTTCTTCTGCAAGTTTTTCGTATTCTGCTCGGTCCCACTTTCTTCGATGATCATCAGGCCTCATGGACATCTTTATTTCAAAAAATCACACACAAAGCACAAAGAAATATTAACAAAATTGCTCTGTTTTGATTGTTTTCTGAAATTCCTTGTTCTAAATGTCAAAATGATTTTATTAGTTCTAAAATCTCATTACTCCTAAAGTTTCAAAGAACCTAAAAGTTTGTTGACGGTTTTGGCGTTTGCAGATGTTCGAAATTTGATAAAAGATAACCTAGTTGTTGAAATGGCTGGAGCTGCTGATGAATTGGGTATAAATTGTATTTTATTTAAGAATATGAACAAATGTTTTACTTACTTAAACCATAATTAATCCTAAATAAGATTTCCATATGCTTAAGTTAAAGTTTTGTTAAGTTGAAATTATGTGAAGTCATGCTTCATTGACATACATTGATAAATTAACATTAACTGCAGACAATTTATAGTTCTTTTGGAGAGAGTTTTTCTTCGTGTTGGATCAGCAGAAACCGATGAGCAATTACAAAATGCAGTTTCCAAGTTTTTACCACCAGTTTTACTTAAACTATCTTCTCAACAAGAAGGTGTTCGTAAAAAGGTAAGTATTAAGATCACATTGTCTGAGAGTCATGTCTAATTTGATGTTATCATTTGTAATGTAGGTGATGGAGCTACTTGTTCACATAAATAAAAGAATTAAATCCAGACCTTCTGTACAACTTCCAGTGGAGTCATTATTAGTTCAGTATCAAGATCCTGTAGCAACTTCTTTTGTGACTGTAAGTTGATTTTTTAAATCATTTTATCTAAATCAAACATTGCAACATTTTCTTTTTAGAACTTCACCATAATTTACTTGAAGCTAGGATTTCCTAGGCTTCCAGTGGATAAGCAGCTAGAATTGGTTCCGTCGGTATTAAATGCAATTGATTTAAAACCACAGTCCCACCAGGACAGCCTTCTTTTGCTTATAATACCATTACTTGGTAAGACTGAAGTGCCAACAGATCCAGCAAAGAGAGCTTCATTATATGGTTTGAATGAAAAGCAGCAGGTTTCTAAGCATTTATTAGGTTTATTATTGGATATGTTGCTGTTACCATATGGGTAGTTTATTTTCTTTTTCTTTAAATTAATTTTCTTTTCTACATAACTATAATTGTAGTGCTTTGGCTCCTCAAAAATCCAGTGAAGAGCAGAACAGTTCTAATGACATTTCTTTGCCAGTACCACCAGGTATGAGTGAGTATTCATTTAAAAGGGTAACTGTTGATAATCCTATGAAACCAGAAGAATTAGAGGAAGTAAGTTGTCAAAAGAAAAATTTAGAAATCCTATAAATCATTTTTGCAATTTCCACAGATTAAAGTAGGAATTGTAAAGTTCCTAGCACATGGAATATTCCCAGATGATGAAATATTAATTCATTTGGTGGTAGCTGCTGCAGATACTCGATTTACTGTGGCAAATCTTGCAGATTTGGAACTTAAGAAAGTAATAGGGTAATAAAAATAATAAAAAAATATCAATAAATCCAAGAATAAAATTAAAAAAATTATATTTTTTTAGTTCTGTAGATTGGAGTTCGCCCTTGTTGCCAATGCCTTTGTATTTATTGTTCTTGGGATCTCAATCCCAGAATGTCAAGCCAAATATGAAAAAGTCCCCAGCAACTACACGAATTCGTTTGAAATTACTCACATATTTAGGTCGTGTAACAGGGACAGGTTTTGTGTTACCAGCCAGTATACAAGTTATTTTTGATTCACTTTATGGAACAAATACAAATGCAAAATTGAAAACGTTGGCTTTAAATTTTGCCACGAACCTCGTCAGAAGGTGAACAAACTTTCCATTTAATTTGAGTCTAACACAATGAGTCATATCTACAATTAATAGGTAATAACAAATTTTCGCATTTACAGTGCAGAGGAAGCAAGTTTGTGCAAAGTCGCTGCAATTCTGATGTCTGGACTCTTAAAATTGATTCGTGAGGGAGAACCGAGTCATCAGAGTCAAGCTTTCATCATTATCGGGATGATAGGTCGTAGGTTTCCATCCGTAGTTTATCACGACGTAGGGTTATTGGAGATGTTTTTCAAAAACCTGGAAACCGCAAATCCCGATCTAAAACTGCAGATACGTGAAGGGCTATTAAATCTTATTTTAGCGTATAAATACGACGTGAATCCCAAAGAAGCAGATAAAGATGGTCGAATGAACATCCTTTTTGTATTAGTCAAATATTTTGCAAATTCTGAAGAGCCTATGGTGCGGTTTGCTGCGGTGCGATCAGTAGCCACAATCTTTCCCCCTAATCATGTACCTTCAAAGTTTTTACTCTTAATGTCAACAGGAGACAAGTAAATATACGAAAACTGAAAGTGTAAAAATCTACATCTAATAAACATTCTTGTAGCAAAGACGACGTTTCTATGGAAGCTTTTAAAGCTCTGTATGGAACAGGTCGTAAAAACGAAATAGATTTGACTAAAGCAAGGAAAACCAATGGAGGAAACAGACCTGTTTTACCTCCATTTGATGAAATAACGAAATACGTTTATAACGAAGTCGAGAGTAGAGTCAAAGACACCTCCAAGTGTGTTCATATCGCTAACTATATTTTACCATTTACATCCGCAGTCTTTACAGAGGTATGCCCGACTTCTTTTACTTCTCTAGCATATTCACATATATTTTGGACCCTTTTTCATTTTCAGATGATAATTTATTTGCGTTTGTGTTTACTACAAAATTTAGACATCCCTCTCACCCGTGAAATTTTGCGTCATCCAAACGAATATTCTCCCAAAATTCGTAGCTATCTGGAAGAGCTGTACAATGACAATGATACTGTCGAAAAAAGCCCTCTAATTCAGTACGTTACATTAATTAGACAACTACTTATTGCAAATATAGCGATCGAACCATTAAGTTGTATGGTCGAAATAATCGGGTGTCTCCCTCAGTTGCACAAAATTCTTCTGTACGAACGCCAGTGGATCAGAGACCAACTTAATTCTACCAAAGAAGAAATACGTGATAGCATTTCGATATTATATGCAATCATCGTTAATGAATCTTTCGACGATGATAAATTTGAAGAGGAACTTAACTTTTTCGTTTCGCAGACGAGTAGTAAAAATTTAGAAGTTCAACACGGCGCAATTTTGGCCCTTTCCAACTTATTAGAAAGAAGAATTACCACTAAGCGGACTCCAAAGGATTTGTTAAAGTGGGAGCTCTTTAAAGAAAGTGTTCAAAAAATAGGTATATCTATAGAAACGACAAAAATAATGACGTTGTATGTTAATGTTCATTTTCAGTGCATTTCTTCAGATATCAGAATCCATTGTTATTATCTGCAGCTAGTACAGGGATTGGCTTGATAGGCAGGAGTATTGCGTTGCCCCTTGAAGATGGTAAGAACAACACTAGCGACAGTCCAGACGCTAAAAGACCTACGAACAGTAAGACAACGAAATTTAGTGTCGTCAGTTGCCTTTTAGACGTTATGAATAACGTTAAAAATCCAGCGAAACTGAGAGAGTCAGCTGCCAGGTCGCTAGGTCTGCTTTGCGTCGGTGAAAATTTTCCTCACACCCAATACGTTATTGATGGACTTCTTAATACCGCCAAAGAAGTACAGTATTATTATAAAAAAATCTTTCCTTTAATTAAGAACTTTCTCTTTCTTTAAAGACGAAAGACGTAGAAGTACACTTTACAGTTGGGGAATCCCTTGTAATGTGCGTGCAAAGTATCTGGTCCCCAGAAGCAAGAGATTACTGGTCTATTTTACCAGAGGATCATACGCCTGTTGATACAATGTGTGAACAACCTTCTGATGAGACTCTAACTGATTTACTTAATAAATTAATTAACATGGCAAGTCAAACTCACCCGAACGTCCGCCAGGCGTCTTGCATATGGCTTTTGGCACTTATAAAGCGATGCGATCAGAGGGTACCTTTAAAAGAAAAGCTGACTGTTATTCAGAAAATTTTCATGGAATTTTTGGGTGAAAATAATGGTAATAAAATAAAACTTACTTAAAATAACTGCATATATAAAAAAAAAAAAATTTTAGATATTGTCCAAGATGTTGCTTCAAAGGGAATTTGTCTCATTTACGATATTTCCAAGTCCGAAGAATTATTAAATTCACTGGTTGATCAGTTAATGATGGGAAGACGGCAAGCCATGCAAGTTACTAGTGATACGAAATTGTTTGAAGAGGGGCAGTTAGGGAAGACGCCCACTGGGTATATAGAAAAAAAATGCAATTTCTACTTGTATTTGTATTTTTTAATTCATTATTATTTTTCAGGGGCAATCTAACAACTTATAAAGAGCTGTGTGCTTTAGCATCTGATTTAAATAAACCGGACCTGATCTATCAATTCATGAATCTGGCAAATCACAATGCAATTTGGAATTCTAAAAAAGGTGCAGCTTTTGGCTTTTCTTCTTTAGCAGAGAAATGTGGCGAACATTTGAAACCCCATCTCCCTAAAATTATTCCCAAACTATACAGGTATCAGTTCGATCCCAATCCCAATATACAAGCATCAATGCAGAACATATGGCATGTATTGGTTCCCGAAACTCAGAAAACTGTAAGTTTGTTTATCAAAAATGTTCTCAATAATGACTACAATATTACTATTTTTTTTTCTAGTTGGAACTATACCATAACGATATATTAGACGACTTGATGTTGAATATGAATTCGTCACAATTTAGGGTACGTCAGTCTTGCTGTTTGGCCCTTCAGGATGTCCTCAAGGGAGCTGGTAACAAATCTATTCATGATTGCGTAGATCGTTTGGAAGAATTGTGGACTAAATTATTTCGGGTTATGGACGATCATCACGAAGCCACGAGACTTATAGCTAATAAGACTGCTAGAGTATTTAGTAAGGTAAATACTGGAATTTTTAATTGGATTCTCCCAATCACAAATCATATTGATAATAGTAATAAAAATAACTTAACTATTTTATTTTATGGCAGTTGTGCATTCGAGGTTGTGATTTGAATCAGGGTAAGGCAGGTGTTCGAATGGTGCAAGCTGTGTTGCCTGTTATGTTAAACCAAGGAATAACCAGTTGTGTAGCCGAAGTTAGAACAGTAAGGTATCTTGAGGATAACAATTTAGTAATGTAAAAGCTCTGTGTAAACTCGGTTACAGTTTACAAACGGTCTCTGAATTGGTGGGTGCTGCTGGTAATCAACTGAAACCTTTTTTGGTTCAACTAATTCCTGCCCTGCTACAAGCAACAGGTGAATTAGAATCCAGTAAACTGTCATATCTCAGCACTTATTTGGGAGGAAACAGAGAAATCCAAGAGGAAGTGGATAGTGTTAGAGCCACTTTTGCAAAGTCACATTTTACCACAGAAACTGTTACAAAGGTATTTAATTTACTTAATTGAATAGACTATTATTTGAAAAAAAAATGCACATTAACATAACATTATCATTTCCACACAATTTGATCAATATAAAAGCTATAACATGTTCCAATTTCAAGTTTTTCTATAATGGGCAATTTTGTAAAAATTTTTCTTTAATTTATTTGTTATTAAGAAGGTATAATTGTTTTTGTTTTTTTTTGTGTAGAAATTAAAGTTATGAGGATATATTTGAAGGTCAGAAATAATGTACAGTATAAAAACTTTTTTTTAGTGTCTTCAATACGTTGACAGTTCAATTTTAGAAGAGCTGACTCCGAAAATAACAGAACTAATGAAGGGTTCGTCCAGTTTAGGATCAAGAATTGCCTGTGCTCATTTCATTACACTTTTGGTGGTTCAAGTTGGACATGATTTACAGCCATACGCGGGTATACTTTTGTATACTTACTTAAATAATATATTGTATTACTTAAATGTGTAATTCTAGGCAAATTTTTGGCGAGCTTAGTCAACGGTCTCACAGATCGAAATGCTGCCATTAGGAAGCACTACGCTGTTGCAATTGGACATCTGGTATCACGAGCTAAAGACTCGAGCATTGAGAAATTATTGGCAAAAATAAAGCACTGGTATTTTGAGCGAGAAGGTAATAGTTGTTATTTCGTTCGTATTTGAACTAATAATTTTTTATTTTATCAGATAATTCGATACGATCTGCGTGCGCCTATACAATACAGTCCATTGGTAATCACAACCAGGAGATTTTAAAGCAGTATTCGAACGAAATTTTGCCCCTTGTATTTTTTGCCATGCACGCCGAAAAAACAGAAGAAACTGAGACAACTATCGAAACTTGGAACGATATTTGGTCAGAAAACAGTCCCGGTATGGAAAGTGGCATAAAACAGAACATTGAAGAAATTTGTATGATTTTGAAAACAGGTTTAGAGTCTCCATCGTGGACAATGAAAGCTCAGGTATGTATTTAACACATTTTATTATTATTAACATAATTTTTGCTTAGCTTTAGTTTTTATTTAACTTGTAAGTTAACAAATATTGGAATTATTTTTCAGGCTGCAAATGCTGTAAGTACAGTAGCCAATAAACTGGGAACTTCCATGGGAGCCCAGCATAGAAATTCCCTTATTCAAATACTTTTGACGGGTTTGAATGGAAGGACTTGGAATGGAAAGCAGAAACTTATGAATGCATTAGCAAGCATTTGTACCAGCTGCAAGTATGTTATTTCTTGCTGTTTTAACTGCCTTGATCTTACAGGGTATAATTCCAACTATTTATTGTTCTTTTAGAGATTCTCTTAAAAATGACCAGAATTTCGATCCTCAGCCAATGGTTGAAGCCATAATTAAAGAAAGTCGTAAAGACGAAGTAACTTACAAAACTCACGCTCTAAGAGCACTTGGAGATATTTTGTCCTCTCTTCAAATCGACAAGTTTGAGGAAGTTTATAACATAACACAGACTCTCTTGATATGCGAGGATTCTGTATCTTCATCTTCGTCGTCTTCTTCAGCAAACAAGGATAAAGACGAGGAAGAAATGGCTGCCAATCGAGATAACAATATTAAAGTAAAAGAGGTAGCATACGAGGTGCTGGGCAAAGCGTGGCCCCAAAACAGCAACGCTGGTACCCAAGAGAAATACAGAGAACTCTTTGCGAAACATTGTGTGGATTGCTTGCCTTATAATACGAGATCAGTACAGGTTTGTGTAATGGCAGCTCTAAGAGAGTTTGTTGAAAAGTTGGATTTGTTGGGAAAAGACAAATTGACTACAGAAGAGGAAGAAGCCCTTGAAAGAATCCTCGAAAATGTTTTAAAGGCTGTAACATTTTCTTTTGGTTAGTATGGGATTGAGTAGGATTTATACTTTTTATTTTTTGGTGGGAGATGAACAAAATAAATTAAAAAGATCGTATTATTTTGGAGATAAAGCAAAAATCAGGTTAAATTAATGTAATAAGAAAAAATTGGTATTAATGTGCAGATACCACCTTTATATTATGTATTTGCTTTTTTTAATTCGTAAAATAATCATTTAGCAGTGTTAAAAATTAGTTATATTAATAGGTATATTTTCGGAAAAATTAAAACAAACAAATTTTCTACAATAACTGTTGTCTAATTAGTTATTTTTTATCAGGTATCACCTGCAACCTAATTATTTTAAATTTCATTTTATATGACCAATTAATTTTTTTTTAAATTTATGTTCCAAATTTCTTTACAGTAAATAATAAAATTCATATGATTTGAATTGAATTGGTTTGATTAGGTAATAATTCTTTNATTTTGTAAAGAAATTTTTCTAAACAATAATAATAAATAATAGTAAAAAGTTTGATTAAACTGAAAATGAAAAAGTAAAAAAAACTATTTAAGTACTTTTTTCCAGAGAAAGGTGTGCACTTACAGAAGGTATATCTAGTTTTTACTGAAGCATTGCCAGATCTTACTAAAGACATTTCTCCTGAAATAAAGTCTCGAGTAGTTGATCTGAAGAACTTTTTCATAAAAAATGGCTTCAAATAGGTGCTAGTCATTAGGTATATTGTATTATTAGCTACATGTTAATTATTTTACACAGGCTGTACTTAATAATAAAAAAGCTGATGGTATTAGTGCATTGTTTTTTTTTACGAATAAAAAACATTTTATTTGTATAAATTAAAAGAAATTATTTCAGTCGAATATAAACAAGAACAATACAATAGACCATACTGGCCTACAATTTTAATATTTCTTTTACTTTCAAAAACAAAAAAGTAATGGCAGGTAAATTGACAAGTATTGCATTAATTTAATTAATTGTTTTGTGTGTTTTAGTTTCTGTAGAGAAATTAAAAATCATGGGTTTATTCAGAACATTTTTGAATCTCCCCCGTAATATGTGTGCTAATTATGCAACCTTGCTGCTACATTCATGATATAAAAAGATTATTTCGCGGTCGTAGCGGAGTTGACCGTCTCGTGTCTTAACCAAAAACATGTTATTGGGTTTTACCATCAATTTTACTCAAATTAAATGTCAAGTGTCGTGTTTACGTGGTCATAAAAGTATAACGAACAATTTTCCTTCTTGATCTAATCCAAAAGTAGTTGTTTTTCTAGTTAAATTAAGAAAAAGTGAGATTTTTTGTGACCATGCCAAAAGGAAAACGAAAAGGAAAGTCTGGTATGTTCTTGCTAATAAACTGATCTTTATGTCCCTATACATAAGAGCGTAAATTGTATTTCATGCTTCTACAGTTTACGTCAAGTGATTTCCTAAAAATTTAGGAATTTGATAAAATTTCTGGCATATGGACGATTTGTAATGAGTATATAGTTGTTATTTTGTTAATTCTAAATGTTATTAAAATAATTGATTTTTTGTTTTGAATGTATTGCAATATAATTGTCATTAATTTAGCAACATGAATCATCATTTATTAGTAAATACTATAATTTAAAGTGTTTACGACTATATTATTTCCTGGTCTTGTACAAAATTATTTTGAAAAAAATTACAATCTTCTCTTTCATATATTTTATGACATTTAAGACTTGCAAATTATTGCACAACTACTTATCATGGAAGATAAAATTATCCAGATGGTAATTTTTAGATCGAAAGTATGAGGGATCAGTGCAAACATCTGATGATGATTCAGTAATTGACAATGTGAGCTTGATAAGTGGTTATTCAGATCATCATAGTATTGATGATGGAGGTGAAGAGGCAGATGAAACAAGCCAGCAGGAGGCATTCGAGGTAAAAATCACAGAAGCAATTGATGGGCTGACCCAGAAATCATCACAGGGCCGTACTAACTGCTTCACTGCAGTGGGAAAAGCATTTATTTCAAAATATCATCCTGACTTTGTTCATGATAGGTTAGTATATTGGACTATAATTTTTATTTTTGCAACATATTTTGTACCAAATTAGTTAATTTATTTACATTTATTTCTTCTTATTAGGCGGTTAACTATAAGTGATTGCATAGAAAGGGGTCTACGTAAAGGAAGAGGTGCTGAGCAAGCAGCTGCAGCCCAATTGGCTCCACTTCTTTGTGTACAATTGGGGCTCAGAGAAGCCAGCGAAGAAATTACAAGAAATTTAAAGCCAGTTCTTTCTACTATAGCTAATGATAAAACAGTGGCAGCTCCAGCTAGAAGCAAAGTGGGTTGAAAAAATGTCTTATTTTTTAATAAACTAAATAACAATATTGGAACACAAAGGGAATGATAACGCAAATTAATTAATGTTTCTTGCTATCCAAGATAACATAAATAGACTTTAAGTCTTCTTATGATAAGATAAAATTAATATTTCACATTTTTTTATTCAGTTCACATGAAGTAAAAAACAGGCAGTTGCTTAGTACACTTGTTTAATATCAAAAATTACATGAATGAATCTAATTAGTAAAAATGAGCATCTGTTTTTGAGTAATTATTTTCTCTTTTTCTATGTACAATTTACAGAAGAAAACATTTATAATTCATAGCTTACCTTACTGTAAACAGTTTATAAAAACCACCAAAAAATTAAATAACTATTAACACAGTTTTGTAATAGGAATTAAAATTGCTCCTGTGTTAACAAATGATTAATTTAATTACTTCTTTTAGTGTTGCACCGCACTTGGTCTATTAACATTTTTGTCTGGGGATGACATGGGAGATGTTTTGCAATTGATGCAAGGATTTCAACACATCTTTTCAGGCAGTTATTTAAAGGGAGATGGCACAATACCAAATGTAACTCCTGAAGTTGCCTCTCTTCATGCTGCAGCCCTTAGTTCTTGGACCCTTCTCCTTACATTGATGGCAGCATGTGATGTTTACACAATGATTGGAAATACTACAACATTTCAACCGTAAGTGACTCATTAACTCTGTACTTAAAAACTGATGATTCATACCCATCTAATGGTTGTTTTATTGATATTGCTTGATTTTTTGATTAATTGCTTATTAATCAATAGGTATTTTAGTTCTGTGGCTTATACAAAGGATATGCTTTAATTTTAGATCATTAACTCAACTTTCGGACCTTTTGCTTTCTCCTCATTTGGAAGTACGTTTGACGGCAGGCGAAGCTCTGGCAACAGTTTTTGAATTGGGTAGAGATTGTCATGACGATTTCGCCGAAGACTTCGTTGCTGATTTGGTCGAAACTTTGCGTAAACTGGCCACCGATTCGCACAAATACAGGGCCAAAAAAGATCGTAAGCAACAAAGAGCAACGTTCAGAGACATATTGCATTATATTGAAGTAGGTCATCAATTCGACTATTTCCAAGTTTTCGTCAATTTAATTTTTGTTTTTAGAATGACGATATTTCTGACGTTCAAGTAAAATTTGGAACAGAAGTGCTAGTTTTGGACACTTGGACACGTAGGAAACAATACGATGCTCTTTGTTATGTTTTGGGACCTGGCTTAAACATCCATTTGGCTGAAAACGAACTATTAAGGGAAATATTTGAATTAGGAGATCGAATTATTGTTGGGGAAGTACCTTTGAAGAAATCCAACAAATTAGAAAGGGTAATTTTGTAAAGAAATTTTTCTAAAAATATTTTATGAAAACCCAAGTCCTACATGTACTCTAAATAGCAACATTTTTCGATCTTTTCCTTTTCCCAATTTATTCCTATGCTGTATTTCAGAATTTTGTCTCGTCATAATTTATTTATTTTACTTATTTATTAAATGATGGCAGCAGCATGATTTTATTTTATTTTCTTCTAGCATTTGATGAACGCTGCAGCTTTTAAGGCCAGAACAATTTCGCGGGCGAAGAATAGGGACAAACGATCAGATTTTTAACAGAGCATTAAAAACAGGTATTTTTTAAATAATAATAATAATGGGATTGTTCTAGAATTTTTTGATAATTCAATTAAACCATGGATCATCTAGTAGAATTTATTAGTCAATTCTTAATTTTTTAGTGAATGTAGTATTCATTTTTATTGTTTTCTATTTATTGTTGTTGCTTTTTCGTTAAAGAAAATTCGTTTACAAATTATGATGTTTGTAAACCATGCTCTTATTTAAAAAAAGCTTTAAACGATTTTATTTTAACTGTATACATACACATTTGTAACTTACTAATAATAATTATTAATGGTACTTAATAATACCTGAATGTTGTAAAGATTATCCTTCACCATAACAATTTTAAAATAAAAATGACAAAGCAAGCAAGCAATACTTTTCTTTTGCAAAAGAACTGATAATAAAAGAGGAAAAGTAAAAGTCAAGTTTAACATGTTTATTTTCTTTTTATTTATTTAATAATATTTCTACATATGGCACTCCTCTTTTCTCATTTTCTCATAAAAAAATCTAGTATTCAACCATAACTTGAAAAATCACTGAGCATATTGTACAGAATTAGTAACAACAACAATAATAAAATTAAAGCGTGGATAAAACAACAATATAGTTTTTTTTAAAACAAACACTGGTCATTTTTTTGTCCTTTTACAATAATTTTATCGCAGGTGTCTTGTGAAAATATAGATGCACATAGAGGGTGATTGCAAAAACAGAATCGCTCTTTTGCTTGTTTTTCTCTTTAAAACCCAAAAACCAATTCCATAGAAACAATAAATTAAAGTTACGCACCAAAACATGTTACCAATGAAATTATTCTTATATTATGAACACATTCACTAGATAGATAACAGTAAAATTATGAAGAAAATTTTAAGTTTAAAATTTAAAAAAGAATTCCATCAATTCACTGGGACATAAAAAATAGTTTTTTTTACTTGTATAGGTATTAAAGAATAAAGTAATAACTTTTTTTAATCCATTTCAAGGGAACGAATCTGTTTTTCATTTGTAAATATAAGATGCTGATTATTATTATTTGTTTTTATAATTTCTTTTTGTCTTATTATCGTTCACATCATCTGATTGATACAGTCATGTCACGACTGTTTGCAACCGGGAAATTTATTAACACTTATACAAGAAATGGGCTTCGGCCATCGCCGCTTTGTACTTTGACTGGACACATGCGCTCTGCCATTATTGTGGGCACTTTTCTCGTACAATTGATGGTGCGGTCTTTCAGACTTTCTCCTCTCTTCTGAAACGAAAACTCAATCTTTATTATCATCTGAATTTTAATTTAAATTATTTACAAATACATTTACCATTTAATTGTCTTTCCGTATAATACTCGTATTCCCCATCGTCACTCCCTTGGCATTCGTAATAATGTTCCATAAGATAAGGCAACACCGTAATCGAATGGAATTCGTCCCCACGGAGTGGAGGAATGGGCACAGCCTGACCACATTTGGAAGGTTTTCGAATACACCAACTGATAGTTAATAAAAAAATAAAGAACTAATATGAAAGAGAAAAAACATGTTTGAAACGCTGAAGAAAAAATACAACAAAATCTCGAAACGTTACATTACTGTACACTTACTCGTGTTGTCTTATTTGTTTAATAGAAAACCGATCTCCCGGATCCTTTCGTAACATCCCATTAATTAAGTTCTGAAGGGTGCAATCAATATCTTCGGGCACCGTAAAGTCTCCCTTTCCAATGTTCTCAAACAATCGATAAACGTTGTCCCCTTCAAAAGGGTATTTACCCGTAGTTATATTGTATCTATATTAAAGAAAAACATACTTTTATTCCAATAACGATTGAAAAAACAAAACGCGTATTCTTACAGTGTGACTCCGCTACTCCAAATATCGACTTTAAAACCTGAGAAAGCCTCTAGACCATTGGCAATTTCGGGAGGCTGAAACGCCGGCGATCCCTGACTAGTGTAACATGTGTCATCAGCAGCAAACAAATCTAAGGCCTGTAAATTAAAACTGATAAATAAAAGAAGACATTCAGGAAATGNTTTTTTTTATAAAACGCGCGCTTTTTTTTACAATGAAAAAAGTAATAACGATAAGACAGTACATGGTCGTCTATTTTGCATTTTGAACGGCCTTTTGCTTGACATTTACCGAGAGTGACGATGCGCGTGTTGTGAGTTTTTACTGTTCTATTTATGCACCGGAAAAAAGTAAGTACTGCAACGGTGATAGGATTGGTGCCAGATAAATGCATTTTTCAAATTGTAAACGATAAAATCGACGACAATTAGGGCAATTTAATACGAAAAATTATTTGATCACGTTTTTCAACCTGCTGTTCTTTCATTTTTTTTGTACCCTCCTATTATAGCTTGTTTTTACTTACAGTAGCATTAAAATAGTTAATTACATTTATTAAGGATGAAAATTTGAAATTGGACAATGAATAGTAAACGTTTATTTTCAAACATTATAACAACTAATAATGTTTGATTTGGAAATTAAGGAGAAATTGGATCTAAGCAAAAAACTTGCGGGAACAATCGTATATAGATATTCAAAATAAACTAATAAAATAGTCCGGTTAAATTTCCATTAAATCTGGGTTCAAACCAACAAAGAAAATTGTTCACATTATTGCAGTTGCAATTAGAAATTAATATTCTTTCAATCAATAAAGTTTATAGAACAAAATTTTTCAATTTAGTCCCACAAAAGTATTTTTTACTATTATTGGTGTGGCCCTGTATCAGTCATTTGATGAATTCTATTGACTGAATAAAATTAAAATACAAATTTATATTTCTAAAAAGAACTAAATTGACTTCCTTAGTGATAATATTTAATTAGTTGTATTAATGCTTCAATTGTCTTCAGTCACAGTACTTCTTTTACTTCTACATTCTAATTTCAAAATAATGTAATTGAAAAATTTTGTTCATAATTTATAAATCATTCAATTAGTGTTATAAAAATATGGATGTATTTTTGCAAAAAATTAATAGGATATTTAGTGGTAAAACTGAAAATATTTCAATACATGGAGTTGAGTTTAAATACTGGTGTTTTGTTAAGAGATCATACCTCTGCAACTCCCAAATCAGATATCTTCAAATTTCCCTCTAATGTTAGAAGCAAATTTCCAGGTTTAATATCTTTGTGTATAATTCCCTTGCTGTGCAAATATTCTAAACCATCTATCAGCTGCAAAAAGTATCCATGTGCTTGGAAAAGAGGGAATTTCTTGGTTGGTGTGCTCTCTAACATACCTTGCAAACTTCCCACACAAAACTCCATTATTAAATACATTTTTTGCTTCTCTTCATTGTAGAAAACATCGACTAGTTTTATTACATTTTTGTGCCTTAGTGTCCTTAGCAATTTAATTTCCCTGCAACATTGAAGTTTGATATAGAACAATGACTAATTATTTATATTTTTTAGACAAAACACAATAATGGCTGGTGTCTTTGCATGGGTAACTTCTTTGGTAAGTTTACAAGATAATTTGTATAGTAAGTTTAATTAAAAAAAAAGCATTAGTAGTATCCTATCTTTGCATTTGCTCAATCACAGTTATACCTTTGTACGTTTTGTTCTCCATTAGGAATTCTTCGTAACTTATGCTTTTTAAGTATTTTAACAGCATGCCTACATAGAGTTTCTGAATCTAACATTTCCTTAACTTTACCATAGGAACCTTCTCCCAACAGGTCTCCCATTACGTACTTTCCTATCATTTTAAGACGCTTTTTCTTTGTTTGGTAAATAATTTGGTCACTATCAACCCTATGGAAAAAGCTATTAATATTGACTGTTTCAAGATCGAGATCTTCATCGTTTAGCCAAATCACAGGATTTTCTTGGTCATTTTGTGCTAAAACCGGCAGTTCATCATCACTTTCAACACTAAAAATTCTATTATTTAGCTCAGCTTCTTCCAGTTCGGTGCTCTCACCAGGTTCGCTGTCAAAATTTTTATTTATGTTGCACATTTTTTTGTCCATAATTGATTTTCCTGCACTTTTTAAGTACTATTAATGTAATTTTATTTATTTTGCGAATCATTTATTTCAATCGGTGTATCACGCTTCCGAAGCATAAAAACTATTATTTATTTCACACACTGTTATTGTTCCTTGCATCGCCCATCTTCGTCCAACAGCTGTTTTTAGTAACTCTCACTTGGTTTCTTAGCTTTGTAATGTTGGCACTGTAAAGCGTAAACACATTCTGTCTGTGGTTCTAGTATAGAAAGAAATATTTGTAAAAACAATTAAATATGCTTTGCATTAATACTTATTTTTTATTCAGACAGTTGTGCATTTATGCTAGAAGTACCATCATTAAGATAATTACATTAATTAATATTTACGAAACAGTAGGGCATTTGATTTATATTTTCCTTCGGCTAAAAGGCTGAATGAAACTTGAAACCAGACTTTTTCTAATGGCGTCTAAGTTTTGGAAATTAGCCGCTTGTTGTTATGGGTTGTTAATGGTTATCAGATTAAAAAATTCAATACATCAACAAAGTGGATAGTGATCAAAAACACATTTTGAAAACCTTGTTAAATTACTGTAAACACTAGTTCAATAAACAAACAAGTATTTTCGAAAAATAGAAAGGCCAAATTTTATCAATGTCACCTTCAAAATTTTATGTTTGGAATATCATTTAAATGCAGAGGTCATTTTAAAACCAAAATAAATACGCGACTACTTAATTAAGTATATAGTTGATAGTGTTGTATACTTGTTTTAAGAAAATGCATCCAAACGTGTAACGCTTCTTTAAAGGTATGACTATAAAAAAATAAAAACAGGTACTCTGTCTGATGTGCTTTTACATATTAGCAATTCAACCAAATAATCTATTTTTTCATTAAACATTTTTGTTTTACAGCCAAGAAATAATTAAGTGTTTTAAGTGTATGTATGTGTTTGATAATAACATGTTTATATTATATATAACCGTTTTATTTATTGCCCTGATGTGAAAGTTATCAATGGGTTAATCTCATTTGTGTTTTTCTGAAAAATTTATACTCTTCCTGTATTTGCTTGTGTTTTAATTATGCCCAAATTAAGTGGAAATTATTATATTCTAATAGAAAATAGTGAAAATTCTACTAATAATTCTGTTGATGATGTTTGTGCAACCAACAAGACAACAGTTCTAGTGTACATTTTAAGCTTATGTAAAAAAGTGCACAATGTTATAGTTTCACCTGTTGTTTCAGTTTCTTTGTGGTGTATTAAAAAGGTCATAATAATATCACAATTCCTGAGACATGTAAGACTTGTTTACCTTTCTATTATGAAAATCCATTTGTAGGGGGTATAATATTTCATGTGTTTATTAAACCATTCCCTTGTATTCTTTACTACTTTCATATAGTCTTCAACATTAATGGATGTTAAGCTTTGAAACAGTTTTAACAGAAAGCATTTATATATTCATATCAATTTTTGTCTTTTTTCAATTTTAGGTGAGTAGAAGTAGAGAAATTCAAGGGGAGAAAAAAGGAAAACCTTCCACTAGTAAAGAATTAGAAGAGGAAGCTGCAGAGAACGTCATACAGAATAAAGAGTCAGTATCAGAAATAGCAGTAGAACCAGGAAAAAGTTATTCCGAAGAAGAAAATGAAAGTTCTAGTGACGAATTTACGCAGTTAGATGTTGAAGATTTGTCCAGACCAGATGATACAACTGATGATATCGAAATCATTTCTCCAGTTGTAGTTGAATTGGCCTCAAACAAAAAAGCGGTTGAGAATATTCTTGCTGAAGAAGCTAAAGATCTTTCTGAGAATTTAGTTCCAAAACAATTAGAGAATAAACTGTCTGATAGTAAAATATTTGTAAATGATGATTTCAAGTATTTTGGAGATAACGAACAAAATAATTTGAAGCCTATGAATTTCCTTAGTAAACAAGAACAAGGTGCTTCTCCTTCTACAGAAGATATTATTAAAAATACTCTTAATAAATCTTCATCAGGAAAATCGATAATTGAACATTTCCAACAATCAAAAGCACATACTCAACCTCCACTAAATGATGATAGTTCACAAACAACTAATGTGAAAGAAATTAACAAGCTATCAAAAGAAATAACAGAACAAGTTGTCACTAAGGCTGTTTCCCTGGTTGAAGAAAACATGGGGATGAAGAGTCAAGTTCGAGTTTTAACTCTTAATGATAAAGAACATCAAGATTCAGTTTTGTATAGATTAGAAAAAAATTGGACCTTACAGTTTCGATTAGGACCCTCTTTACTTGGGAGAAAAATATTGTTATATTGTAATTATCCTGAAGAAGGAGCTGAATTTAAAAGAAATAGTTACCAACTGCTTCCATGGTCTGAAGATGAAGGATGTGAACACTCTGATGATACAGCTTTGCAGATTCAAATTCAAGTGAAGAAGGCTGGAAGTTATCATTATTATTTTACATATGAAGATATGTAAATATAAATTTACAAGCTAAAGAATTATTTACAAATTATATGTTTTCTTTTTCTATTTGCAGAGAAAGTTCAACACCTCAAGGATCTGGGTTTTTCATTGTGGACCCCATTTTAACATATGGAGACAATGAAATACTTCCTTTGGATTGTATACAGTGTCAGACAGTTTTAGCAAAAAGTTTAGGACCTTTTTCGACGTGGGAGAATAAACTTAAAGTTGCAAAAGAATCTGGATATAACATGATTCATTTTACTCCAATTCAGGTAGTACTTACACATTTGTCTTTTTACCCTAGAAATGTAACGTCTTAGTTAGAATTATGTATGATATTGATAAATGTATTATTAAAATTCATTTGAAAACATTTTAACTTTTATTAAATCATTGTAGGCTCTTGGAGATTCGAATTCTAGTTACAGTTTAAAAGCCCAACTTCAATTGAACCCTATTTTTGACAATAACAAGAAAACTACTTTTAAGGACATAGAAACCTTTACCTCTAAACTTCGAAAAGAATGGAAGGTAAATATCTTTGTTACCAATATCTGCAGAAAATTTATAAAATAGCAAATTTTTATTTCACTTGAGAATAAACTTTGATTTCTTTAGGAGATATATTATTTTATAAAGATGTATTGTCATTGTTAAAATTGTTTTTATTTGTTCATTAAGTACATATTTTTATTTTTCAGATGTTGTCTATTTGCGATATTGTTTTAAATCATACGGCGAACGAAACTAAATGGCTTGAGGAACATCCAGAAACAACATACAACTGTTCCAACTGCCCTTATTTGAGACCTGCATATCTTTTAGATGCTGCCCTGCACCAGTTTACTTTGGATGTTCAAAAGGGCTTATATGAAAATAGGGGAATTCCAACTGAAATTTATAGTGAAGATCACTTAAATGTAATTAAATTATTATTTTTTAATGAGATTAACGATTCGTTATTTCTGTTAGGCCGTTCGTCATGCTTTATATACCAACGTTTTACCTCAAATAAATCTTCAAGATTTGTACATTTGTAATGTAAACAAACTGGTGGCAGAATTTTTGGATTATGCGCGCAACAAAGTTCCTCCCATTAGTGAAACTAGAAATCCTGTTGAAGAACTTAAACTAGTACAGGATCCACTTTACAGGAGACTGGAGTCCACAGTAAGCATGGATACAGCTTTAAGAATATACAATGTATTTAGGTAACAAATCTGATTTAATATTCCTAAATGATAATTGAAGTAGACATAAAGAATACTTTTGGATCTTTTTTTAGACAAGACTGTTTTGATGAAGATTGTAGATTGAAAAAATGCGGAGAAGAACTTAAAAACAAATTAGATCAGTTAAATGCAGCTGTTATAGGCGAATTGAATGATCATATCAGCGCAGCTATAGAAAACACGATAGCTGGAATGAGGTACTTTAGAGTGCAGTCTGATGGACCCAAAATTAGAGATGTTTCAGAAAAAAATCCACTGGCTTTTAGGTAACAGTATTAAAAACTTTTTTTATAAATAATGTATTGTTTTGTGAAAAATAAATTGTAGGTATTTTACTGATTTTGGGAAGCCAGCTTCCATTAAAGAACACGAAGAAATAATGTACGGGACGAACTCCAAATATCTGATGGCCCACAACGGTTGGGTTATGGATTCAGAGCCTCTACGAAATTTTGCAGCCCCGGATAGTAATGTTTACATTCGGAGAGAGTTAATTGCATGGGGAGATAGTGTTAAATTAAGGTTTCAATTGCTCCTTGAAGGATACTTATTAAAGTTACAAATGTAATTGGAATTTTTTTTTCAGATATGGAGAGAAACCTGAAGATTGTCCTTTCCTCTGGAATCATATGAAAGAATATGTAGAGTTGACGGCAAAAATATTCGATGGAGTTCGACTTGATAATTGTCACTCTACTCCTATTCCGGTAAATTTATTGTAAACACGTATTTTCTTCTTATTGTTTTCATTGTTTAATCCAGATTGCTGAATACCTTTTGGACTGTGCTCGCAAAGTTAGACCAAACTTATATGTCGTGGCAGAACTATTCACAAATTCTGATCAAAAAGACAATATTTTTGTTAACAGATTGGGAATTTCATCTTTGATAAGAGGTAATGTATTTATTATTTTTGGTATTTATTAGTAATATTTTCTAATTACAGAAGCGATGTCCGCTTGGGATTCTCACGAAGAGGGTCGTCTGGTGTACAGATATGGGGGTTATCCTGTTGGGGCTTTCATACAGCCCCATATCAGACCCCTTGTGCCTGCTATAGCCCACGCATTGTTTCTTGACTTAACCCATGATAATCCTAGTCCTGTTGAGAAAAGATCTGTATTTGATTTATTGCCTAGTACTGCTCTAGTCAACATGGCTTGTTGTGCCAGTGGATCTAATAGAGGATATGACGAATTAGTCCCTCATCATGTAAGTTATTAATTTAATTTAATATTATATATAAAAGAAATTATGAGGGCTGTCAGCACAGAGCANAGATCGACCTTATTATTACTCTCTTCTCCGTACGAACACCGCACTTTCACGTGACAAATACAATGCAAACTTTAAGTATATACAACATAACTAATAAGTATTACAAACGTTAACGTTATTTACAAATAAATAATGCAATAACGACTAACTAATATGATGCACCTCTATTTTCGATAGGAAGAACATTTTTAATCTCAACAGTTTCATTTAATTTCCCTAATTGACGCGTTAAATTAGTATTTTTAGAACGCGAAATGACCAAAAAGTACTGACCCCTGATTAAGTGGTGAGGTCAGGATAAGTGTGCTCACTTAGTCGTTGCATGATTAGCACGCGAAATGATGGACTTTCTGGTCATACTTCTGTTTTCAACCCTGTTTTGTTTAACTGTGATCGCGATCTTGGGCAGGTAAGCAAGCCATCCTTTTTCATTATCCTACGTTTGTCCTTCTACTTTTTTTTATAAAACGCGCGCTTTTTTTTACAATGAAAAAAGTAATAACGATAAGACAGTACATGGTCGTCTATTTTGCATTTTGAACGGCCTTTTGCTTGACATTTACCGAGAGTGACGATGCGCGTGTTGTGAGTTTTTACTGTTCTATTTATGCACCGGAAAAAAGTAAGTACTGCAACGGTGATAGGATTGGTGCCAGATAAATGCATTTTTCAAATTGTAAACGATAAAATCGACGACAATTAGGGCAATTTAATACGAAAAATTATTTGATCACGTTTTTCAACCTGCTGTTCTTTCATTTTTTTTGTACCCTCCTATTATAGCTTGTTTTTACTTACAGTAGCATTAAAATAGTTAATTACATTTATTAAGGATGAAAATTTGAAATTGGACAATGAATAGTAAACGTTTATTTTCAAACATTATAACAACTAATAATGTTTGATTTGGAAATTAAGGAGAAATTGGATCTAAGCAAAAAACTTGCGGGAACAATCGTATATAGATATTCAAAATAAACTAATAAAATAGTCCGGTTAAATTTCCATTAAATCTGGGTTCAAACCAACAAAGAAAATTGTTCACATTATTGCAGTTGCAATTAGAAATTAATATTCTTTCAATCAATAAAGTTTATAGAACAAAATTTTTCTTTTTATAATTTCTTTTTGTCTTATTATCGTTCACATCATCTGATTGATACAGTCATGTCACGACTGTTTGCAACCGGGAAATTTATTAACACTTATACAAGAAATGGGCTTCGGCCATCGCCGCTTTGTACTTTGACTGGACACATGCGCTCTGCCATTATTGTGGGCACTTTTCTCGTACAATTGATGGTGCGGTCTTTCAGACTTTCTCCTCTCTTCTGAAACGAAAACTCAATCTTTATTATCATCTGAATTTTAATTTAAATTATTTACAAATACATTTACCATTTAATTGTCTTTCCGTATAATACTCGTATTCCCCATCGTCACTCCCTTGGCATTCGTAATAATGTTCCATAAGATAAGGCAACACCGTAATCGAATGGAATTCGTCCCCACGGAGTGGAGGAATGGGCACAGCCTGACCACATTTGGAAGGTTTTCGAATACACCAACTGATAGTTAATAAAAAAATAAAGAACTAATATGAAAGAGAAAAAACATGTTTGAAACGCTGAAGAAAAAATACAACAAAATCTCGAAACGTTACATTACTGTACACTTACTCGTGTTGTCTTATTTGTTTAATAGAAAACCGATCTCCCGGATCCTTTCGTAACATCCCATTAATTAAGTTCTGAAGGGTGCAATCAATATCTTCGGGCACCGTAAAGTCTCCCTTTCCAATGTTCTCAAACAATCGATAAACGTTGTCCCCTTCAAAAGGGTATTTACCCGTAGTTATATTGTATCTATATTAAAGAAAAACATACTTTTATTCCAATAACGATTGAAAAAACAAAACGCGTATTCTTACAGTGTGACTCCGCTACTCCAAATATCGACTTTAAAACCTGAGAAAGCCTCTAGACCATTGGCAATTTCGGGAGGCTGAAACGCCGGCGATCCCTGACTAGTGTAACATGTGTCATCAGCAGCAAACAAATCTAAGGCCTGTAAATTAAAACTGATAAATAAAAGAAGACATTCAGGAAATGATATTCTTTAACTAATAAGATTAAAAGAATTTATGCATCGATTTTAAAATAATTTCCGGTTTGTTCTGACTTTAGTCAACATCTTTTACATTTTTTATTACTGATTCGTCGCCATATATGAATCGTGAGTGATAATATATAGCCTTAGTCCTTCATCGAAGTATAACTTCTACAATTAAAACGAAATTTTGAATCTCCAGCTTGTTCAACTTTACCTAATTTAATATTAATTTATCGCAAAAGTATAAATATTTATACATAAACAAAATAGATAAATTTAATTTTAGAAATTTCTTAGATTATACTATAGTAAATAAGATACTAAAACATACAAATGATAAGATGGATTAACATGAATATTTTAGGCACAAAGCAAGTCGGTTCCACAAAAATTTATGTACTTAAGTCCTGAAATTTTTAGGATGACCCTTGTACTTGAAATAATCTGTACATGTAATGAAAAGGTACAACAGTTCTGAACTTCCTACGCTTTTGTTGCAGCAAACTTTTACGCCTCATTATACGTTACTCAAATGGAAACAAGACATCGACCTTATTATTACTCTCTTCTCCGTACGAACACCGCACTTTCACGTGACAAATACAATGCAAACTTTAAGTATATACAACATAACTAATAAGTATTACAAACGTTAACGTTATTTACAAATAAATAATGCAATAACGACTAACTAATATGATGCACCTCTATTTTCGATAGGAAGAACATTTTTAATCTCAACAGTTTCATTTAATTTCCCTAATTGACGCGTTAAATTAGTATTTTTAGAACGCGAAATGACCAAAAAGTACTGACCCCTGATTAAGTGGTGAGGTCAGGATAAGTGTGCTCACTTAGTCGTTGCATGATTAGCACGCGAAATGATGGACTTTCTGGTCATACTTCTGTTTTCAACCCTGTTTTGTTTAACTGTGATCGCGATCTTGGGCAGGTAAGCAAGCCATCCTTTTTCATTATCCTACGTTTGTCCTTCTACTTTTTTTTATAAAACGCGCGCTTTTTTTTACAATGAAAAAAGTAATAACGATAAGACAGTACATGGTCGTCTATTTTGCATTTTGAACGGCCTTTTGCTTGACATTTACCGAGAGTGACGATGCGCGTGTTGTGAGTTTTTACTGTTCTATTTATGCACCGGAAAAAAGTAAGTACTGCAACGGTGATAGGATTGGTGCCAGATAAATGCATTTTTCAAATTGTAAACGATAAAATCGACGACAATTAGGGCAATTTAATACGAAAAATTATTTGATCACGTTTTTCAACCTGCTGTTCTTTCATTTTTTTTGTACCCTCCTATTATAGCTTGTTTTTACTTACAGTAGCATTAAAATAGTTAATTACATTTATTAAGGATGAAAATTTGAAATTGGACAATGAATAGTAAACGTTTATTTTCAAACATTATAACAACTAATAATGTTTGATTTGGAAATTAAGGAGAAATTGGATCTAAGCAAAAAACTTGCGGGAACAATCGTATATAGATATTCAAAATAAACTAATAAAATAGTCCGGTTAAATTTCCATTAAATCTGGGTTCAAACCAACAAAGAAAATTGTTCACATTATTGCAGTTGCAATTAGAAATTAATATTCTTTCAATCAATAAAGTTTATAGAACAAAATTTTTCAATTTAGTCCCACAAAAGTATTTTTTACTATTATTGGTGTGACCCTGTATCAGTCATTTGATGAATTCTATTGACTGAATAAAATTAAAATACAAATTTATATTTCTAAAAAGAACTAAATTGACTTCCTTAGTGATAATATTTAATTAGTTGTATTAATGCTTCAATTGTCTTCAGTCACAGTACTTCTTTTACTTCTACATTCT